ATATTAAGTAAAATTAATTAAAAAATAAAAATATCACTTATTATATAATTTAAATTTTTAAAAAAATTATAAATGTGTATCTTTTTTTTTAACTTCTCAACATTTAGTAACCATATTAAATTTTAATTAATAAAAAATTAATATTTATTTTTTTATTTATAAAATTTAAATTTAAATTTTTATTTAAAATAAATTAATTTATTCTACTCAAACCAACTCAAAACAACAATAAATAATTGCTAAAGGCATATCATTTAACATATGGCACTCCACTACTACTAGGTTGTTGACGCGACATCTTTTAACAGTGTGAATTTACGTCGATTGTTAATGATGTGGAGTTAAGACTAATTCCTTCTCGAAAAGTTAATTAGAAGTCGTAGTAAACAAGATGTTTGACCCATTTTTATTGGGTGAACACCACATCAGCAGATTAATTTGTCCTACTGCCACCTGTAGCAAGTCGAAACTTTGGAAGGCTCAGGCTCAGGCTCAGGCTCAGGCTCGTCGATTGAGACAGTGCAGCGTTCGGGCCGACGAGACATAGCACCACGTCTCACCGGGTCTCGTGCCACCCACTTCGCCACTTTACCATTCTGCATTACTGGCTTTTAGATTCTCTCCCATTTCTGTGAAATCAAATTAGGAAAAGACTTAATTTTGCTTTCGCCACCGAAGGGTCGGGAGACTCCGGATCCAGGACTCAGGATTAGGCGAGTTAAGGTGTGGTATGAGGGAAAGGGGGCTTCAGAAGGTTTCCTTTTTGCATTCATTAATTTAAAAGTGGTTCTTCTTTGACCCCTATTGCTGTTACTCGCGGAAAGCAAAGTGAATCTTGGAATTTTTAGGTGAGTGGTTTTTATCTTTGTTTTCGTTGATGAATTTCAATCAAGTTGTTTTCTGTGTAGGGTTTTCTGTTTCTTTTTAAAATTTATTGAAATTTCCTCTATTTTATCTGTATTTTGCAACTGCGACTCAATTTTTCCTCAGGCCTGAATTTGGTTTCATATCTGTATCATCACACAAATGGGGGAAAATTGTGAGGATTGTAAGAGCTGGGAAGAGCAATTATTTTGGACCCATTTTCAGTCGGTACATTTCACTCAATTTCTCCGCCGTGGTTTTGATCAGTGGCTTGTAAGTTTTTCGTATGTCTGTTTTTTTTTTTCGTTCTTTTTGTTTGCTTTATCAGTTAAGGGGAAAACCATGTAAATCAAGCAGCATGTGTAACTTCTAGACCTTTACATTGCGTTGAAAGGATGCCATCTTGTTTCATTTCTAGCAGGCATTAGCTTACTAAATTATGTGCCTGAAAATTTTTGCCAATATCGTGTTTTACCTTACTTTTTGATGATGTATGAAATTGCAGGCACTGCCTGAAAAATTTGTTAAACATTTCAAGAAAAAGCTACCGGAAACTGTGACTCTTAAAGGTCCTAGTGGTTTAACATGGGATGTAGGATTGACAAAAAATGAGGATGCCTTGTTCTTTGATCGTGGGTGGCCAACGTTTGTAAAAGATCATTCTTTAGAAGAGCATGACTTCTTGACCTTTAAGTACAATGGAGTGTCACAATTTGATGTTCTAATGTTCGATGGGCTGAACTTGTGTGAGAAGGCTGCTACATATTTTGTGAGAAAATGTGGGCATACAGAACATGACAGTGGAAGCCAAACAAAAAGAAAAATGAGAGACAATCCTGTTGAAATTACGCACACTTCTTCACAGGATGGTCTTGAAGGCACTCCAGAGAAATCTGCAGAAAATGACATTGACCAAATGCGTTTCCAGCAGCCTGTATACTCTACACCTACTAATAAGAAGATGCGAAGGGGAAGTGCTTCTCGTAGAGCTATTCAATCTGAGCGGATAGGAGATAAAAAAGTCTCCACTTCTGCTGGACAATTGCCAGTCAAACCTGGTAAGGACATTTCCCTCTGCTCAATTTAAAGATTACCGTCCAATAGTGACTATACCTTTGTGAATACTTCTGTTACCTGTTCTTCTTGTTCAGTACAGCAATGTTTTGGTCTTTGCATCTTGGTGCTTCATTGGAAAATTTCTTGAAATTTTCTTTACAGACCACATCTAATTCTTGTATTTTTGGTAAATCTGGTATTTTCTGTTGCTGGATACATGAATGGCATGTCTGACTATTGTAATTTCTGTAGTGAATGATTCAGAAGCAGAATATGTATCTGTAGATGGAAATGTGGAGTCTAGCCCTCTGCAAATATCAGAAGGAAGGCCTGTGACTGAAGATCAGAAGAGGAATGTCTTGCTGTTGGCAAAATCAGCACTAAGTAGCAATGGTTTCTTAATAGTTATGAAACCCACACATGTGAAGAGAAAATTTTTTATGGTAAGTCTCAAGTTTTTATATCTAGTTTTTCTTCTTATTTAAGTTTGAATTTTATATAAAATTATGAGTTGCTGTTACATAGACGTAAATCATTATTTTTTTTAAAGAAAAAACTATTTTTGTGTTCCATCAGGCGATTCCTACTGGATGGATGACTAGATTCATGGCTTTAGAACCCCAAGACGTGATTTTACATCTCAATGATGATACATGGCAGACTAGATTTACTTACTTTGCATCTCGTGGTTATGGAGGGCTTAGTGCTGGTTGGAAGAGTTTCGTTGTGGATAACAACTTGGACGAACATGATGTGTGTGTATTTGAATGCGCCGACCCAACAATTAAGCCTCTCATCTTGGATGTTAAAATTTTCCCTGTTTTACAAGCAGTGCTTCCCCTCAACGAAGTGGCTCCTGCTTTGTGTTAAGAGGTTTGTCCCAGGGTGCAAGGAGAACTTAGTAGTAGCATCTAGACAAGTTCCTTTTGTCTGCTGTATCTGTTGTAGTATTAATGTAACTAGTTGGCTTTGAATTTACCGTCAGGAACATATATCTGTTAAACATGGCTTTTGTTCTGTTCTCTCGTTCCTTTTTGTGGAAAATGCTGCTTCATTGGTTTTAATACGAGTTGAGTTATATCCCTATCATCGTATTATATGTTCTTATCTCATGTCATGTCATAAACGCTATGACATTCAAGATTGCAGTTATCACGAATGGGCTTGTTCTGGTTGGGGTTGCAGTTGCAGTTGGATTTGTTCTTTTGAAGCATCCCTGGAGGAATCTGATCACTACGCCTTGTAAAATGGAGTTGCCTTGCAAAGATGATTTCTTCATTGACTGAATTCTATAGGTTACAGGGATCATCAGTTTTAATAATTTGCAATAGACTCAAATTAATCAACCAGTAAATCTAATGAGAATAAATAAATGGACAACATATATACTCAAAGACTCAGAATACTTTAATCGTCATGCCATGTCCTCATAAAAGAGAATGTATCGAAACAAAATCTCATTGCTTGGGATTCTAAAATATCATTTATCAAGTTCAGTGATTTTCCAGCGATACAATATGTCTGAAAAAGTATAAACTCGTTGATCAGAAAATTTCTACAAACTAGAGCAAAGATTAGATTTCAAAGAAGTCAATTTTATGTCCTTTAACCAACAGTCCAAGAATGGATAGGCAAGACTCAGGCAGAGGGTCTCTGGCATGCAGAAAACAGTTGCCAACTAATGAAAGCCATCACCAGAGATGTGAAGATTTCAAAGCCCACCACCTCTGGGAAGTGCCACCCTAATCCTCGCCTTAAGTAGCTGCAACAACCAAGACTTGTAAAAGGAGAGTTAGCTTGTGATGGTGGATTCCAATTTCCCCCTTAAGTCAACTAAATAGTATGTACTGATCACAACTTGCAAATGGTAAAAGATAAAAACACTTCAAAATGGTTTTGATAAGGTTGAGGGCAGACCTTGTAATGGAAGGCATTGTTGCCACAATTCCAGCACATGCATATATTATTGGAATCAATGTCTTGGGCTTGTTTTTCCTGAGCCACATCAAGGATCCCAATGCTGCAAGTGAGATACTCAACACCTGAAATCACAAAAGATACAAATATCAATTAGGAGAGGGGTAAATTGTAACCTTTCTGTTTGTTTAGATATTAATAACAAAAAACTAAAGACTGGAAACAAGGCAATTATTATAAATGAAAAGTTCTTAAAAGACATACCAAATTTGCATTTGCTTCAAGGCCTTGCAAAATGTAATCCCATGTGAACTCTAGTCCTCTAGCTCCGACCCAGAGAGGTGCCAATCTGTGTAGAACAGAATCAGCAAAAGCCCATCCTGGAAACATGGATAGACAGAAGAATAAGCATCATCATTAATTCCAAAATGAGGGAAAAAAGCATTAAAATCCACTACAAAATCTCAGCAATTCCACTTGATTGATAAGAATGACAAATAAGTTACCCTCTCAAATGCTTCAAGGAATACCACCAAGCTTCTTAAAAATGATTCAGATTTCAGGCATAACATGCTTAAGAACAGTTCTGATACTGCATTTCTACTTCTAGTAGGAAAAATCATACACTGCCCCAGTAATGATTCAGACGACTTGGCTTGTACTAGGTCAGGTGATATTGTTAACAATAGCATTTATGAGTAAATGTCACAAATTCACTCACCAAGTCCAACAGCTTGAAATTTATGATTTTGGGAGATATTCCGGTGAGTCAGCTGGGTTAAGGCAAAGTAAAGACCAGCAACATCTATAAAACCAATCAATGCTTTCAACAATTCCTGAAAAAAAAAATGATAGGAAAGTAAAAGTTTTTAGATTAATTACTGCTAAGTTTAACATGCAATTCTCATCAAATGAATTATAAGTCAAATCCAACTATCAGAAACAAAAATAAAAATTCTAAACATACATAAAAGAAAAACCATTTTCATTTCTCCATGATGCAGGTTCCAAATACTCCAATTCAAGTCAAGAGGCAAGTACCTGATACGGATCAAATCCATCATTGTCAGATACCTTAAGGAATGTTGCAAGGCATACAAGCTGCAAGCATCCAAAATATGGTTAAACAGATCCTCAAGCTCAACAAAAGAAAAAAACAATAACAATAAAGAAGTAGAAGCAATCTATGGATATACTAATCAATAAAAGCTATGCACTATGTTGAAAGCTTTAAGAAATATATGGACGCATTGCTGGTTTTGCGAGCTTCACTGACCTTTACCAAAGCTGTTCCAAGATAAACAAGGGCAGCTTTAACCGATGTACCAAGAGTATCATACTCTGATCTGCACACATATATATCTTCCTGTGAGATAGTTTTATATATCTTAAAAATATATGAATTGCAATTTAGAAATCACAACGCATCTATTATGGTAACACAACACTTAAACTCCCAACAATTTTACCTTCAGGTAGTTATTAAACATAATATAAACTTCAACCATAATGAAATCTATTTGAACAAATTCTCCTTCATCCTATTAGTTATATCTAAAAAATTTGTTCATCTAATGATAAGAATTAATAAAAAAAAAAACAGCTAATTAATAATTTCAAATGATTTTCAACTGATATTTGACTAGATCTTAGCTAATTCCCAGGACAAAAAAGAAAAGAAAGAAAAAAGAAGGAAAATCTTCCTCGAATTACTTTTAAGATAAATATAATATTACAAAGAAACTTACTAAATTTCTATTTTGCATCGGATATCCGTGCCAATAGTCTCAAATCGTGTCAGTATTTTGCTAATTTCAGCGAAAGATTCAATGAGGAGATCAAATCAATGGTAGATTTGTGCAGATTAGAGAAAAATTAAAAAAGAACTTACAACGGAGTGGCTGAGTAGTAGACGGCGTGAGGACCGAAGGTGAGAATTGCGCAGTTGAAGAAGTGAAACACAGTCATTCTTCTCCCTTCTCTCTGATACCCTACACAGGAAGAAGACGACTCTTCCCCAAGTTCACACTTTCACTGTTTCACAGTCGTAATTGGCAATCCACGGATTTTACTACTGACAAAAATAATAATAATAATAATAATAATAATAATAATGACTTACTAAATTGAAATGGGCTAGAAGCTTCACTCATCTGGGCCAGGATGTGAGGCAACTCAGAAGCGGGCCCAATGTGACAAGCCCAACTTGGAAAAACTTTTGGATCTTCTAAAACCCATTTTGGACTTTGGAGGGATAGAACCTCCCAAAAAAAAAAAAAAAAAAAAAAAAAAGGAAAAAAAAAAAAAAAGGAGAAAGAAAAGAAAGAAAGAGAAAAGAAAAGAAGCAAGAGTTATGATATGGGATGGGTATGAAATGAAGTATAGAAGATGTAATATACGGTACAACCAACAATCAAAAGAAAAGAGTTAAAATTTTGCAATGATTTTGTCTTGGGCTGTAATAGGTACACAAAAGCTGCCCAAAAAATAGACATGAATTCAGGCAAACAAGAATTGCCAATTGCAATGCCAGATGCCATCTTCCAATATTGAAAAATCTCCAGAGTATCTTTCAGAATCCAGGACTGTCTTTTCTCCTCCAAGCTGTTTCTTTAGTTTCTTTGAAAAAAAAGAAAAAAAAAAAAATCTGATTCCTCCTTTCTTCATGACCTCATATGGTCTCCATTTCAATCATTATTTAACCTTGCCTAAATGCTCTGCCCCTCTTTGCAGCTTACAGTTGGATTCAATCTGTTGAATGGACCCTCTTCCTGTTCTTTCCCAGATTTTTCATTTTCAACTTTTCCTCTTGTTCTTTTACTCACCCTCCAGACACATGCATTCTTTCACAGACGGTAAGATAAGATATTTTTCCATTAAGGTCAAACTCCACTTAATTATCATGATAAAGTGTCTATTTAATTCTTTGCTCACATACATATAAAAAATAACAAATATTGTGAGATGGAGAGAAAGCATAATATATCATGCTTAATTAAAACAGTTTTTCCTTCCATCAAAGGCATAGACACGGGCAAAAACCCGTTTCCGAAAGCGAAAGCTGACCATTGGTTCAATTATGGATTTAATCTCACTCCACTAAACGAGCTGGTTATTGTCATAGGATGTTTTGTTAAGGACACACAAATAATATAATAAACATGTTTAATTTAGTTAATTTTATTAGTATATAATTTTTTTTAAAATAAATGTTTATTGTATTTATAAACATTAATTAATTTATAAGTTAATTTCACTATAATAAATAATAAATATCAATTATTTTATTGATTAATAGTTACAATTATCACCTGTTAATAATCGATTAACCATTAAACCAACCAAAACTAATGTTTTATGTGGTTTTAACCAACAAAAAAAAAAAAAAAACCTGTGGCAATAATCATGTTTCTAGTAAAACATCATTTTCACGAACTAATTACAATTATAGAATCAGCATAAAGAAATAATGTGGTTGGAATGCAGTGTGAGGTTCAAATAAGTTTATTCCCTGATGTAAGGGGGGATTATTTGGCTAAGATGTAGCCGTTTTGACGGGTTTATAGTTTCTGGTAGTCCATTAATGAGGAGCTTGACAATTGAAGAAGCTCCCCAGAAGAGCATCTAATGTTAGTAAGAGTCAGAACAAAGGAGAAGAAACTAAAAGAGTACAGAAGATGTGGAGTGTGGACCATCTAGACAACTACGGGAAAATGAGAGTGTCCAATTCTTTCTCATGAAAAATTGAAACAAAATTCAAAAAAATGGGTCCGGAAAATGAAAGGAAAATGAGGTCATTGGCGTACAAGCTCGAAGGCTGGCTCACATTTATTACAATACCAATACCATTTCATCAGGAGGAGGAAAAAAATTTTAACTACTTATATTTATGAAACAAGTGTTTTACAGATTAAATTATATAATTTTAATTATTAAATGAAAATTAACTTTTTAATAGTAGGATTTTATTTTTTATATAATAATATTTATATTAAAATTTAATATAATTTAAATTATAAAAAAAAAGTCTCTTAATTTTCGGAGCACCCAACTCTAATATTAACAACAGATTAATTTCAAGATTTATATTCAATTTTACATTTTAAATTAATTTTTAATAAATATTGGGTCATGAATTCATGATGTGAAAGAGGAAGGGACAGGTTTGGTTGGGATGAAGGTGTGCATCCATCACCTTCGGCTCATCACACTCAACTCATGCCATACCTCGAATGACCGGCATTGAGACTGAGACGCCGATAACAAGAGCTTTTAATGAAGGTGAATGAATGAATGTCATTGTTTCATCATCTTCAATGTCTTTAATTTAATTTTCTTCCGTTTTCAAGAAAATCCTTTTCTTCCTTGTTCTGATATCTTCTTGATAATCATAAACGATCCTAAATTGCGGTAAGATGACAAAAGAAAATCGTAAGACGACAGTGAAACAGTCACCTCTCCCGACAAGATCTCAATTCAAATTCTACGTACATTATAAAAAAAATGGTTGAAAAGGGTGGAGATTTCGAGTTTATTAATTGTTTCGGGTATTTTATTAGTTTAGGAAATTCTGAAGCCTGAAGGTAGATAGCCCCTAAGTTATGGTGTTAGAGTTGCGTAGGGACTGACTTCATTCACCTTAGTTGTTTTTAGCAATTTGACTTCAAATCAAATCACCTCTCTGGTTCTCTCTTGAAACTTGGTGAGTGTTGCTCCGCCGCCTAGGGAGGGTCATTTTGCCGTCCTTCCCTGGTGGCGCGTGTAATGCAAACGTTGGAGTAATAATTAATTTCACTTCTCCAAATATATGTATATATATATAATGAAAAAAAAATATGGTAAAAATGTAAAAATCAACCTCCAAACTTATCAACTTTATGCAAATCAGCCCTTCAACTTTTTTCAAAAACAAATAACCCTAATGTTCGTCAAACTTGGAGCAAACCATACAAATAAAATTTGGGATCAAGATCAAGAATTCAAACCCTACAATGTCAAGTAGCTAATATTTTAATGTATTAAAAATATCATGTTAATTATGTCATTATTGTATGAGAATAATTTTTTTAATCTAAATTGCATAAAAAAATACAATTTAAATTATAAAAATGTTAAAAATACCTTTAATGAATAATAGTCATTAAAAGACATTTAAGTACTTAATTTTACTGTTAGTACTAGATGTAATATGGACTGAAAAAACATTTGTATTGAAGATTTTAATTTCCTAATATTACCTACTGATCATAAAAAAGGAGAAAATTTTCTAATATTTTTGTGGCAATTGGAAACAGCCATCACATAAAGACAAAAGAAATTAAATTCTGCGCTGAGGACCGACGATACTATGCGTGGGGCGGGCGAGGAACCTGGGTTTTATTTCTAAATGCAATAATATAGAATGATATGTAATGATGTGGCGCACGTCAGCCTAGCTAAACGGCGTTGATTTCGGTGATTCCTTGCTTTCTCTTTTGTCTTTCTCCTTCAAATTGGAGTGGGAGAAGGTGATTTATATTCACGATCTCAAAGCAACACATGCACTATGTAACCTAATCTCACGAATCACAATGAAGAAGCTAACATTCTTCCGTTTGGGATACCCATATTTTATTCTTCAAGACAAACAACGAAAGAATGGAGGATATATAAAACACTGTACTATCAGCACATCATGCAACCTCCCTTGGTTTTATCTTTGGACTCTTCTATCTACTTTTATCAAATATGAATATTGAGTTGAAACAGTAGTGTCAGGGTTGTACGTACGTACATGCATTTAATTGGATTAGGGAAGTAGCTAGACTTAATTCGGTGCACATCACCTTTGCATGATCACTAATTAATGACTTTATAGTCATGGGGTTACCAATGCAAAAAGGAGATTATTTTGGTAATTCCTTAACAAAACTAGACAGCGCACGATTGTTCGCGCTTAATCTTGAATAAAATGGGTCGCATATTCCCGTTTTAAATAAAAAAATCATATATAGAGGGAAGGTGTCTTATGAAATATGGTATTAGGTTGCCCTATAAATGGTAGCATGCCCTAAATTCCGCAAAAGACTCTTTGAACAGGAATGAGAATCAAGTGGATCCGTGATAATGATCATAATATAATAAGAAAAAGTAGTATATTTAGGTTTAAAGGGGTAGGAATTTTCTTATAAGACAAACACATGGAATATGGAATATAACCCAAGCATTCGACAACACTGCAAATGAGGCACAGTGAAACATGTTGACTGGGCAAAGTTATGATCACCAAATTCTATAAAATATTGTCTTTAAAATATTAATTTTATTTAATTTAATTGATAAATATTTTTTATTTTATTAATTATTAATTAATATTTATAATTATTAATCACATTAAATAGAATCAATGTTAGGTTTGTCTAAGACATAAGTTGAAGGTGTATTAAATACATATTTTTGTCATAAATTTATATTAAAAAAATAAAAATTAACATTTAATTTATTAATTGTCCAATTAAATTTATTTGACAATAAAATTAATATTAATTTTTACATTTTTATGTACATTTATGATAAAAAAAAAATGGAAAATGCTATGTTTACGCAATGAACCAATAAACCTCTCTACACACAAGCGGTTTAGTGAAAACAATAAACATAAAATGGAGATAAGGCTTGTCCTATGCTTGTTTGAAAGAAATCTATTGGTTAGATCTAGCACAGTGACAGAAGGAAATGCTCCTCCAGTGAACCAAAGGCTCTTCTTCACCTTCATTCTAATCGAATGCAAGTATTGACGGTCACCTTGAAGGGAATTTGAAGGTTCCCATGGCATAAATCAGCCCAATTGAGTGAACCCAAGCCCCATTGATGACCGATCGTGTCCACCTCCATTCGGCTCCCATCAAAGAAGTGCGTCGGTGACCCCTTAAAGAGCCTACACTCAATTTGTCCACCCCTGTCAATTGAGGATGCCGCTTATCTACCACAAATCATAGTTTTTGGGAGTCCGATTGAGTGAACCCAAGCCCCATCGATAGCATCCTGGAATTTTAGAGACTGAGAATAATGATTAGCTAGAAATTTATAATAGTTTATTAACATCTTTAAAATTTTCAATGGTATTGTGACAAAGGGTGGGGAAGTAGAGGAAAAATAGTGGTAGAGGAGAAGAAAAAAATAACTGGGGATTTTGAGTTCATCAATAATATCAATAGCGGCATGACTAAAGTAATTTAAAATAAATGCTTTGATTTGGGATGTCTTAGAAATGTTGCTAAGGGCATGACAAAGATTGGGACTATGCGTTCCAAGTAGATGCCAACTCTCAACTGGATTTGCTTCTCCGTTGTTACTGTTTTCCAACAAATCCATAAAATATGCAGAGGTAAAGGGGACGGTGATATCATCGTATTCTATTCTATGGTAAGAAATCTTCTTGTAGTCTATTTGGAAATGGGAATACACTATGGCTAAATAAATGGTTGTTGGCTTAAGTATTTCCGCCTCTTATCTTGAACCGATCAAAAGTGTAATTTAAAATAGGATGTGTCCATTGGGTGTTGAACTGATGAATGCACATATTAGAGTCTTAAAAAAATATATTTAATGCATCTTTAACTTGAGTATAAGTTAAAAAAATTCATCAATATTTATAAGAAAAAAATTTTTAACTTGTGGGAGGGCACAGATTAACCCTTATTTAATGTAATATCTATAATTAATTTGGTGCAAGTTTTTATACTAGATTTAATTAAAATAAAATATAAAATGTAAAATTAAAATATAATATAATATTTATACTCGAAATATACAAAAAATGTATAGATTTAATAAAAAAATTATACAAAATTAATTATAGATACTATAATTAATAATATTTAATTTATACCTAAAAATACAAGTTAAATAAACCCTTTTACAAATAATATTTTACAGAATTTAATGACCATAACATTAATAATAATGGTCATAACCTTGCCGATGTTGACCTGATATTAAACGGGTTAAACCACAGACAGTGAGAAATTAATCAAGGAAAGGAACTAAATCGGCAGAAAAAGCTAAAAAGTTTTCATTTCCCGGAGAATCTAGAGCGCATCAGGCGCTGACCTGTGGCTTCGAAAACTATTAAGAAATGATTAATGTAATCACACAAATTATGCAAATGGGGCTTAAAGAAAGTGTTGGTTTTCAAAAACAAGGGATAAAGAAAACAAGAACAAGAGAAGGGAACAAGGAAGAGCATAGTATATAAGACCTAAACATGATCACGTCAGTAGAGTCACGTGAGAGGAGCCATGTTGACGCCGGGGAATATGGTGCTACATTCCACGCGCGGGTGGGGCTCGACAGGTTGGGTTTTAATTTTAAGTTAATTTACGGAATATTTGGACAAGGGGAGGGAATATTGGGCGTGGGGAAGATTACAGATTAGACAAATACTACAGGTTGGGTGCATGGCAAATTAGCTGAGGTCGCGTGGTGTGAAAATAATTAATGGGAAATACTAGAGGTGCATGTGGGTCTGTGACCCTGGTGTCGCCGGACACCCCAGCCAATCTGACACTGCATGCTCTCATAAATACTCATGCTTTATATTCCTTCCCTATTTATTACTCATAAGACCAAATTTACAATAATCCTCTCCTTCGCACGTGTACAGCTTGAGGCTTATTGGGCAATCTGGTTTTTCCCACGTGCCGATCCATCAGGATTCGGAATTAATGACTCGAACAATGCAAGAGTGTGGATGAGACTCGTATTTTCTGTCCCCAAAGTTAGCATCGACAACCGACGGTTTTAGGCAGGATTTAAGCCAATTTGGTACAGCGGTTAAATTTCAGTGGATAGCGGATAATAAGTAGCAGATAACGTATAGCGATAACGGGTAACGGATAACGGTTAGCGAATAACAGATGACGAATAGTGAGAAGTAGGTAACGGATGATAAATAACGGATTTCATAAATATAACTGTTTGGCTATACAATGGTTAGCGGTTGTTATTTAACATTAAATGACTAATAAGAACATATTTAAAAACAAATAAGT